GCTAGCTCGCCCTGAGCGCCCGCGTCCGGACCGCGCCCCGCCCCTTTCGTAATAGGAAAGCCGAGCGAACTTGAGAAGTCCCACAGCAAAACACTTTTCTTCACCTCAGGTGTCAATTTTTAACAAAAATTAAAATTTTTTTTTCTCAAAAAAAAGAAAAAAATACACCACCCACAAATTGCACAATAGAGCTATCCACGAAGTTGATATTCAGCGGTGTTGAACCCCTCCCCCCCTTTCTCAGGGATGGACGCGGTCCATGAGGTCAGTGAGGACATGCCTTTCTGCCGCCTTACTCTGTACATAGATTTGCACTCTGGAGTTTTCTGTGAGGTTGGGGATCACGCTGGGGCAGAACAGGCCATCTGGGAAAGACGTGGTCACTGACATTGTGCTTTTTACAGCAGAGTCCCAAAGGCCTGTGACCTCTCCTTACCTACCACGCAGTTGCGGTCCTCTGCCCGGTGGCCTGGCTTAGAGCACAGGTGGGCCTGAGGGACTGGCCACCTCACAGGGATGTGGTAAGCCATGACAGACCATAGGAAGGAGCACTTGCCTGTGGAACTGTGGAGGACAGCTGCCTCCTAAGGCTGATCTTGCCTGCCTACCTGCCTGACTTTCTACATACAGAAGTCCTCAGAAAAATGCAGGCCAGGTGCAAATCCTGCCTGGATTGGCACATCGTTGCTGCCGACAACCCGGGGAGGCGGTCTGGGCCCTGCCTGCCCTACAAGAAGGCACCTGGGACCGGTTACCATCACACCATGTTCTCAGACTGGGAAATAGTGCCCCGGGCACATTGTGCTGAAACTGCTTCTCCCCCAAGTTGGTGTTGTTTTATCCAGTTCCCTAAGCTCTCATGCCCTGGGCCACTGTGAAGGCACTTCTGTTTGAAGCAGTGTACAGAACCATCATGCGCCCCTCTGCCTCTTCAGTCTGTGTGTGTGCCCCTGCGAGTGGCAGCACAAACACACCCCACGGAGACTGCCGGTGGCGAAGGCATTGTCAGTTGGAACTTCTCAGAGCAGCGCAGCAGATGTTATGGGAGACGCTCTTAGAGAAGCAAGGATTCTGCTTCTCTGGGGGACCTCACAGGAAAGTTGTGGGAATCACCGTCTCAGAACCTTGAATACAGACTTAGCAAAGCTACAGTGCCAGCCACACTGTTGCATTTCCCCACGTTCCCTCCTGCTTCTGTCTGCCCTGACGGGGAGCACCCAAACCACACTCAGTCTGCAGTGTGGGTGGGGGCGGGGGCGGGTGGCCTGCTGGTAGAACTGCAGGAGTAGAGGCCAGAACTGCCTGTTTCTCCTGGAGCCCAGATATGGGCTGCATTGGCTTCAGGTGCTGGGCCTCATCAGCAAGACCATGTTCTGGCTGCTTCTCTGCAGGTCCTGAGAGTGTCCATCTACTCCCACCCTGCGGAGGCCCAGGCAGGCATTTCCTCCCCTCCTCCCAAGAACTGGGGCCTAAGAACACAAGGCCCTAGGACTGCATATGTGTGTGTGTATGTGTGTGTGTATGTAAGTATGTATGTATGTATGTATTGGGTGGGTGGGTTTGGGATGGACTTGGTTTATCTTACAGAGACCTCTCTTTATTTTGATGTGGAGGATCAGCCCTTGTGACTCAAGAGGGCCGTAGATGGGCTTCCTGGGCCCAGTGTGCCTTGGTTTTGGCCATTCCGCCTCCACCCCAACCCTCATGCAGCAAGGGGGTGTAGCGCAGGGAAAACCCAGAGACCATGCCCAGCCAAGTCTGCAGTTTTTGGCTGTTGTCATATGGCTCCCACGTGGATCTGGGGCATCCCTTTCTAACTACCTGTGTCAGCTGTAAGAGGCTAATGGCATATGGTGGCTCGTGGTAGCACAGTAGGTGCCGAGTTGGGCTGTGGCATTGTGGCTGCCAAAAATGGGCATGGTGGGTGGGGATGGTCCCTGCGCTGGTCCACTGCAAAGCTGGTGACAGCTCTGCTTGCATTTCATCTGGGGACGAGAATGTGGCTGGGACCTTGACTGAAGGGAACCCTGGGTGCTTGGGGTGTGGCGATCTTCATGCTGAGTTCCAAAGTGTAGCCCCTCCCAAAGTCATTTGTGTGAGGCAGAGAAAGCCACACTCTGAACACATTTCATGTCTCAGGAATTCACATTCCAGATTCAGGAATTTTATTCCAAAGTCCTTTGGTGCACCTACATCCTTGGTTCTGAAAACAGAGAGGCAGCAGTGTGCCCCAAAGGCCAGCCAAGGTCTCTCCTTGGGAGGAGCGAGGCGTCTCCTTGTGATCTACCCACAGAGTCACAGAAGGAGGCTTTCTAACTCCGCCACTGTCTGCACATAGGAAGGCTAAAAAGGACTCTAAGCCCCGTCATCTTGGAATAAAAGACAGAGCTGGTTTGTTTTAGAGCGGGTTGGGGGGTGGGGGAGGGAAAGCGGGCGTAGGCTGTTTCCAAAGAGAGCACTTAATTTAATTTTTCCTCTGAATGACCCAGGGCTGTTCCGTCTGATAGATGGAAGGGTAATGTTGCCTTAAAACAGAAATATGCAGGCGTTGGCTATTTTTGGCAAATGAACGTGTCTTCATTCCCAAAGTGGTTCTCCTTTAATGGCAGGGTGCAGTCCTTCCACATGGGGCTGAGGCACCTCGCATGGATCCCCACCCCCATATCATCTGGAGTGGCAGTTCATCTCATCAAGGGGTGGGGGGAAGGGAGGAACATGACTAGATTCAGTTCCAGTGGGTTCTCATTAGGTTCCCATCTCCTCGTCCCATCACGTCATAAACAAGGGATGCCTTCTAAGATGCAGAGTGTCTTCCCAGCCCAGGTCTGTCGCAGGGTCTTTGATTTTTTTGTTTTGCTTTGTTTTGTTTTGTGGTTATGGCCATATATTCTGATTTCAAGTTTGACTGAGGAACCCACAGGGTACCCAGAAATAATACTGAAAAGTCAAATCTTTATTTTAGAGACGGGAAGCAGAGATCCCACAATGAAAGTGCCTGAGTGAAGGGAGAGTTCCCTACAGCAGTGTCTAAAAGGAACTCTGGACTTCAGCCATCCGGGAGCTGGAGTTTAGTTCATGTCCCAAATGAGAAAGTCCATCTGCATCAGCCATATTAGGGGGCCACTGTCTGTTCCCCAGATGCCTATTGAATCCTACAGCCATACAGAAAACAGCCCTTTCTAAAGAGGGCTTTTGGTTCTCTCTTGATGGGTGCTACGTAGGGATGGACAGTGATGCCCTTGATGGGGGTGTGGTCCTGGAGGTGCCCACCTGTGTTCTCCCATGAACAGACCCTACCCACAGGACCTGAGGTGCAAGGACCCCACCTCCAGCCCACCCCATCTCAACTTTGTTCCGAGGCCAGCATTGGGACAGGTGCAGGATTCGCCAGAGTGCAGCCTTCAGGTGCAAAGTCTTGCGCCCTGGTGATCCCCAGTGTAGGATGCTTTAGACGTGGAGTCAGATTCGGGAGGGAAGGTGGCATTCTGTGGTCCCAAGAGAAATGTGGCAGAACAGGGGTTATCTTTCAAGACTTCTGCCTCTCAGCTCCGCTCCGTCCAGAAGACTGGCTCTTTTCTTGCCAGAAGCAGGCGCTACGATGGACTGCACAGGGTCAAAGTATTTCCTGGAGGCTTCATCTGGGATCTCCACCAAGCAGGGGCACCATCCATGTAAGACAAAATCTGAGCAATAGCTTGGCCTCGTTTATCAGCTCCTGATAATGGCTTTGTTTGCAAGGCTACCTATTTTGACTTCTGACACATTTTACCAATTGTTCCCCCTCTCACCCCTCCACTTTACAAAAGGCCATTGGGTCAGTGACAGTGCTAGAAGGTTTATGTGTAGCGACGTTGTGACAGTAAGAAATGCTTTGTAGGTCACCCACATTTCTTGCTGCCCAAAGTTTCCATCTCTCAGTGTTGGTGGCCGTATCTTTCAAAGCTAAAATCCAGATGTTGACTCACTGTTTTGAAATCAGGATGGCACTAGGAAAGAGCCAGGTCCTATGACTAATTTTCCTGATTCTCAGTCTTTGAAGGTTTGTCCTGGACACATTCCAGAGAATTTTTGTAACCGAACATGGATGCCCAATCCAGCATACTACTGATACAGGCTTGAGCACTGCTGAGGGAGAGGCTCTTCTTGCTGGCCAGCTGACCTCCAGAGAAAGGCAGAGCTGGCCCGGAGGCCCCAGTCCACCAGGGAAGGAAGGCTTGCTTGGTTTGATCCTCCCCTCCCCCTTCCAGGGTTAGTGGACTCTCCGGAACTCTCTCTAGCCCAGTTGTCGGTCATGTTCTCCCCCCTCCCCCATCTCACACAGCTTTAAAACTTCACTACTTTTATTTAGAAACAAACAGGATGGCAGAGAAGACACCTCCCCCACATTCCTGGGGGTGGGCAGGAAACAGGTCAGGCCCGAGGGTGGGGTTTTCTCCCTACTCTTCCCCCAGTGTGGTACTGTGGGTCCACTGCCTGTGCTCATTAGTAAGGGACTCCTGTGAGCTGAACACCAGTGGGCCAGGTTGCCCTTCTTAGTACTGAGAACCCCAGAGTAGCCAGGGCTACTTCTCTCTCGAGACAGACACTGCCTGGTCATCTGCCCCAGTGTCATACCCAAGTTAAGATGTCTACCCTCGTACGTGGGTTGGAAGTATCTCCCTGTTCCCCCACCGCACACTGGAGACCCTGAGTGCCCAGTGTGGAGACACCGTGGACAGTAACACAAGGCTCCCCACTGAGCCACTATGCATTGTTGTGTCAGAGCTCCTGTCCCTCCTTGGTGACTGGAAATCCTTGCTGTGGTTTTGTTGGCTAGACCCAGGTGACTGCTTCCCATCCAAAGCCATCAGTGGAACTTCTGTGGGATCCTTTGCCAAAACCCCAAGGCAAAATCCAAGGGTCCAAGGCCATTTCCATCAAGTTCCCAGTTTCCTTTTCCATAGGAACTTTTTTTTTTTTTAACCTAGCTCCCAACATGCTTCCAAAGGCCATGTTCCGTCTTTTCCTGGATCACTACAGTGAAGTATTACAGTTGTACAGTTCCCAATCTGGCCTTGGCTTGCTTGGATAAAACTTTGTTATGTATTTTGTAAGGCATAGATTCTATATTGTAATGTCCTATGCAAAAGAAAAATTAATGAAATTGTAAATTTTATTGTTTTAACATGTATGCATGTTTAGTGACGTTTACATTTTGAAATAAAATTTATGATTCATTATTTTATTTGCCTAGGTGATTCACTTGAGGGGTGTGGTCTACAGAGGCTCTGTTAGGGGGACAGAAGTTAAAATCTGGAGACTGATTGGAGAGGCGCAGAAAGGACAGCAGGAGGGTCTGATGCCCATGGCGGGGGGGATGGGGGTGGTTCTCTCCAGCCTTTTTTGTTACTTGTCATGATAACAAATAGGATAATCAATTCAAAGAAAAAGGGTCTTTGGGCTCCTGGTTTCATAGGGTCAACTATTAACCAGTTGGCTCCTTTGCTGTGTAAAGCAACATGTCATAGCAAGGGGGAGGAGGGAGGGAGTGATGAAAACAAAGCCATTTGCCTCTTTCCACAGAAGAGGAGAGAGAGCCTGGTTCCTACTGTGCCGATGATGGTCATAGCATCGCATCATGACTTGGGCTCTAGCAGCATTTACCAGTATTACCTCCTTGGGGAGGAAGTCTTTACTACATGGACCCCTGGAGGTCCACATCCTGGAGGATGCTTCTCACTCAAGCTGTCGTGTTCTCATAAGCACCTGCAACTCATTCCTGGGGTTCAGCTACCCGTTGTCTAAGATTCTAGGAAATGTGTTTCTCGCCACAGGACTGATGTCACAGGCCAAAGTTCACTGCCAGGGGAAGAGGCAAGAGATCTGGTGTTTGTCAATAGCAGAGATCAAAACTCCCCTGTGATATCTAATTGTCCATGGCTGTTCCTGGATGCAGGTGTGTGACGGGTGTACCACTATACCCCAGTTGGTAGTAACAGCATGCAGGGCAGACCCACGGGCGTGGGAGAGGATAGTTGAGGCCCACATCCTCAGCCCTTTCATCCAGGAGTGGACTCAGAGCGGCACCCATGCTGTATGCCATTTCAGCCTGCATCTGTAAGTGAAACCCACTAAGAAAATTTAAATACCAGTAAAAGAAGGCAATTCAGTTGAAGCTGGATTTTCCTGAAGCCACAATAGACCCTGGGAGTCACTTCCTGGTAGACAACTTTTTTTTCCAAGATCAGGAGAGAGGTGTGTGCTGAAAGTATCCAAACACATCAGTAGCCATAAACATACCATCTTGAAGCACGTGTTGGCACAAGATACTTTGCAGCCAATTCTCAGTTGGAGCTTTGCCCCAGGATGTGTAGCTTACCTCCTCTGCAGTGTTCCCGTACTGTGGAGGAATGTCCACAGACGGCAGTAACTGCAGGGTGGGTCTGCTTCCATAAACAGTGGTGTAGGGTAAGGGTCCTGGAAAAAGAAATGCCCTCATGATGTCACTGCTGAGAGTTTTCCAAAAGGGAAGCAGCATTGGCTGTCCCAGAGGCCTTGAGGGGTCCCCAGTAGTGGAAAAGAAACAATACATCCTCTAAGAAGCAAGCACCAGTTTTTACTAACACATGAGAAAGGAATCCATTAGTACAGGTAACATCCAAGCAGCACATCGTTGTGTCATCCTGGGACAAGGTGAAGAAAGGCTCCTCTATAGTTCGTGGCAAGTTCGTGGCAATTTAGTGGCGCACCATGTCTGCCATGTCCAGGCCAGGGGAGCAGTGCCGTCTGGTGTGGATGTGGCAGGTTTCTGTCATCCCAGGGAGCAGAGTCTGGCCAAGGTTCACAAGCCACATCTGCCACTTTAAGGATGGCCTTACCATGTGTCCTTGTCTGTCTTCTGCTGCCGGGAATGTGGTGTCACAGTGAGTGTTAGCTACAAAGAAGAGAGGTTTGTTTTGGCTCAGCCTTCCCTGCAGACGCAAGGCCCGCTGCCCACATCCGAGGGCCCTCTTCCTGGCAGAGTGCCAAGGAAGGCACATGTGCATTGCATGCATCACCCCGGATTCTCTTTTTATGAATCAATCAGTCAGTCATGGGGGTTTCGCCCTGATGACTTACTCCTAACCAAATACCTCTCTCTAAACGTCACAGTTGGATTAAATTTCCACCTCTTTTACCCCTTACCATGATTAAACTATGGCATGAGTTTCTGTCAGAAGTGAACCAATCCAAACCACAGTGCCACCCTTGGTAGCGGCCTGAAGACTGTGAGCACCCCATTGCTTGAGGCATTCAAACACTGCTTGCCAGGAACGCCACAGAGAAAGTTGTGTTCTAGGAGAGTGGTTGCTGTGCTTCTAGGTGATTCCCATGATCGTGCAGACCCTTGGAAACACTCCGACAGCCGCAATCACGTCTGTCTGCCCCGCACCAGCAAGGGTGAAGGATGTTGATTCCCCAGTAGGAAAGGATAGGCAGGCCTTGGCACGTTTCAGTACTGAAACAGCTCATCCAGGACTCATTCCCTATTACTGCCTTAACAAACTTCCCCAGATAGCAACTTCAGGCAACACACATTTAATTTTCTGTCCTCATGAAAGCTTTGAAGGTCAAAAGTCCAAACTGAGTTTTCCTGGGCTGCAGTCAAAATGTCAGTATGACTGCTTCCTTCTGAAGGCTTTTAGAGACCATGTACATTCCTTTGCTTGTGGTCCCACCCTCTCTCCCAAGCCATCAGGGGAGTCTTCTCTGCTGTCTCTTGCTCTGTGATTGCATCTGACGTACCTAGTACCCTCCAGGCTACATTTAAAGAACCGGAGGGTTAGGAAGGTCCCAGGTCCGTCCCTGCCCAGCACTAAAAATTTCTTTGGCTTGTGTGGCTACTTCACCTTTGCTTCCAGATTGCTCCCGGAAAATGGGCACCACCCTGCCTGTCAGTCCGTGCAGGTATGCTTGGCTTTCATCACAGCGATGACCATGCAGCTCTGGACTTGGGTCTCGATGCTGACACCAGTGTGAGGGTAGGCTTTCCACCTTGAACACATGGGATGTGACTTGGGTAGCCACACAGCGAGCAGCACTGGGCTTTGTTCCCTTCTGGGAAGCAAGCTTGGCCATGGTCTACAGAGGGTGAAGTTCATGCTCACGCAACAGAGGCCAGGAGCCACATCAGCTGAGCAGGGCCTGTGCCAAGCCAGCAGGGTCTGGCCTATACAACTACACTCTGTGGGAGACGGCTTGCAGCCCTGCAGGCTTGTCTCGGTGTGGGCAAAGACCAAAACTAACCTGGGATGAGGAGGTTGTCTGGCTCATACTGAAACACCTGGCTGCTCCTGGAGCAACAGCCAGCTTAGCTGCTCCACGTCCGCCACTGGCTGCACACAAGGGGTCAAGGGCCACCCACTGAGCGTCCTCAGCAGGAGGCATAGGGAGTTCTGATTCATAACAGAAAAGATAAGCTCAGAAAGGTGAGGTGGTCTTCCCGAGGCTGCACAGCTGGCAGAGGCCAGAGGTTCATTACTTTAAGCTTTGGGTTAAGTAAAGGGTTATTATATCCTATCTGGAATACTCTTCCCCAGTTGTTGATAGCTTAAAGATTTTTTTCCCCACAACACAGAGCTCAATGCTTATCTCTTTTTTGGGCTGGCCCCATACGGTGTCCTCCAAGATGAAGTATTTGTGTCTCTGGGGACTTAGACTTAAGCACTGTGAGGTTCAAGCCCTCCCTAACACCCTCCGTGAAGTTAAGCAGCAATGACTGCCCTGACCAGGAGGTCTGCATCTGTCCACTCAGACCTCCTGGAATCAGGATGCAGAGGGCACAGAACACTGACATTGGCACACCTGTCCCTGTTGGCAAACTCCAGGAGCTGTTTGACAACTCTTAACTGTGCATAGCTATGGTAAGCACTATGCCGTGGTCCAGTATTGTGTTGCATGCTGGTCAGGCCAGGATGACCACAGCATACACACTGTAAATATTTATCATTTCTTTGTGATGAAAACATTCAAAATGTTTTCTTCTGTGCATCTGGACACCTGACCTGGCCTCTGCTGCCAGTTTCTGTGTCAGACTCCCCCTGTGAGTGAGATCATGTGACGCTTGTCATTTTGTGCCTGGCTTATTCTTATTCTGGCTTGTCCCCTCTGTCCCCCTATTGTTGCTATCAGCAGGATTCCATGCGTTTTCATGGCAGAATGGCATTGGGTGGGGCATGGGACACAGACTCTTGCTTTTTACCCAAAGACACGGCAGGCATGTGCCCCACCCCAGCTCCAAGGCCCGTCCACCAGAAAGAGCACAGGACGGGACTTACCTTAGCTGGCCACAGCAGGAGTCCACAGGAGGACAGATGTACTCCAGGCCTTCTCTCCCCCAGCACAGCAGCATGAAAAAGGGACAAGGGATGAAATACCCCGTCTTCAGGTCAGATCTCAGATTGCCTGTCCCAGGAAATCAAGCTACAGAATAGGGGGGGCCACCCCAGCCATGCCAGCCTTAGCTGAAGCTTTGCCTGCTGTGGGCTGAATGTCACTTGCCCCTCCTCATATGTGGCAGAGAATTCTCTCTAGGGAGAGAATTAAGTCACAGGAGACACTTAGGATTGTACAAAGCTCATGATAAGATTGGCACATTCATAAGTAGATAAGAGAGATGATCTTTCCTGGTCATTTGAGGGCACAAGAGAGGAAGTCAGCACTCTGTAAACCCGGAGGCCCACCCTCTTTTGACTTGGATCTGGGCCACCTGGATCCTCCCAGCCACCAGGTTTCTGAGCAATACATGTGACAGGTATGCGGTGGTTTGTGTTAGCAGCCCAAACTGACTCTAGAATCTAAACCGTGAATATGAAACTACATGGGAAAGATTCATTATCAAAGGTCCAAAAGTCCAGGGGCCCAACAACGCTCACATTTACCGTTCATTAGAAAGAGGAATGTTCTCCTTCTCTCTGTTTTGCTCGATGTGTTTGAATTTTACAGGGTACAGGTTCTTGTGTGCATTCTGGGCACGCTCAAGATGGTCTGAAGGCCATCTTTGCAATGTGAGGACCACAGGGTATGCAGATGGCAGCAACCAGGCTGTTGCTCAGTTTGGACTCAAGCCATTCTGCAACATAGAGTAAAAATAGAATGCTCTGGCTCCAGTGGGGAGAAGGGGCCTGCAGCTTGCTGGGAAGGCTCTTAAACAGGAGCAGGTTTCATTGATCTGAGCCCAGGGAAGGATGCTGTCAGTGCCTGAAGGTGGGTGATGGGTGCTCACTGCTCTTCCCTGCTGGTATCCAGACGTTGGGTAACCATTGGAGATGGTTTGTTTTCCTCTATGTATGTATGTGGGAAAAGAACAAATTAACCATCTACACTTGGTGATGGTTGTAAAGCTGATTGAGGAAACACCAGTGGAAAGGCTTTAAAATGCCGAGCAGAAAAACATTTATTTTAGAGTGCTAAGTCCAAGGCATCCAAAGGCTTTGAAGTAATTTGATTATAGGCTCTAGTTTTTAAAGCCAGTACAAGTAACACATAGGAACAAAATCTTAAAACAAACAAACAAACAAAAAAACAAAAAACACCTCATGGTGAAAGATCTTTTCCACTTTGCCCCATTGCACCCCTCCCTACACACTAAGATAAGTCTCTTATAGCATATAAGTATTTTATTTGTCATTCTCCTTTTTACAAAGGTTTGTTCTTATTATTTCTAATTATGTGTATCTGTGTTGGGCTATACATGTGAGTGCAGGTACCCATGGAGTCCAGAGGCGTTGGGCCACACACACCCCCCCCGCAAGTGCAGGAAAAGTGCAGGATTACAGTGAGCTGCCATGTGGGTACTGAAAATCCACATTGGGTCATCCTGAAGCGTGCGCGCGCGCACACACACACACACACACACACACACACACACACACACACCTGAAAGCCATGACGTTCTGCTTACTTTAGAGTTGGTGTTGTTGCATCCACTTTTGTCTCCATAGCTTTGAGTCGCCCCTTTTTCTTGTTAGTAGCTGGACAGTGCCCCTTTGCTACCATTTTTCTGCTTTACTCCTCCTTCCCCTGCCTTCTACCCTAATTTGGCTATTCCCTGCTGGGTCTGGTACTCCCTCTGCTTGGGTGGGTAAGTCAGTAGTCCAAATTCCATGTCTTTGTCCGGCTTTTTCTTTCTCACTTTCTGGGTATACATCCTTTAGTAGCTACCTCAAGAAGGATATATAGGAGGTTTGCGTAGGCCTTAAAAATCTGAAAATATCCATTCTATCTCATACTTAACTGATAGTTTGGCCCAATGTAGAAAATGAGGTTCCACATTGCTTCTTGCCTCTTGCACTTCCACTGCGACAGACAGGTCAGATGCCCCGGAGTCCTCGTCTGTCTAGCAAGTGCGCATTCACTAACTTTGAAATCTGTCAAGCAGCCACCCCCTGTTGCTGTGTGCTCCCACATCTTTGTCTAAGACCATTACTTCACCTGCATTCCATGGGTGATTCTACCGGAGGACTCTCTTCAATGCTAAATGTTGCCTTTTATCATTCTATTGCTAATTCCCCTGCCTTCATTGTCTCTCCCAGGAATTACTTAGTGGACAGTGGACTTGCTGGATTGATTTTCTGTGTCTTCTCTCAGGATTAGCCTTGAGTTTACTTTTCTCCTTTTCCTGTTTTCCTGGAGTTGAACCAGCCATTTGCTTTCAAGTCTCGTTTATCTCCTGAATCATAGACCATCTGTGGTTGTCATTCTGTCAGGTCCTGTTCCATCCTTTCCTGGCCTCTCAGGAAGTGCCGTGGCCCATCTTCGTGGAAACTTGCTCCTGTTCAGTTCTTATTGGGTTGCTGATACAGGCAAGGACTCCTTTTGTCATTCATTGGCAGAGCCTGTTATGCCTAGATCGAGAGTCACTGACACAACAGGTTAGAAAGTGAGGCCTTGAGTCTCAGGAGGGCAGAGTTTTTAAAGGAAAAAAAAAAAAAACAACAAAAACAAACAAACAAACAAACAAACAAACAAAAAAAAACGGAAAGCAAGGAATTTCCAAGCCTTGCCATTACAGGGTTGTGTAAGATTGGGTGAGTGGGTGGAGATCAGCAATCGAGGTGACCTTTAGGATGATTTTTCCGAGTCACCTGGTCCGACTAAAGATATCTGTACGATAGCCTGCTGGGTGGAGGACCCATTAACACATTCTGTGGTATTCAGGACAATCTGCGGGGTGGAGGGCCAGGTGGTTTTACTCCTCAAGAACCTTCAGGTTCTGAGGGTCCAAGTAAGGACAGTCAACTTAAGATAAGAGTCTGAGAAACAAAATGGAGTTAGCCCTGTTATTTTTAATTCCTTCAAGTCCTTTTGTGGAGCAGGAGGGTGAGGAGGCTACACTGGCTGTGAGAAGCTGAGGGGATGTAGTTGGGTGAGTGGTTGTGGGGACTAGTGGGGTGAGAGTCTGTGAGGAAATTATGGAGGGCTGTAAAGTAGGCTTTGGGGGGCTATGAAGGACTGAATTGGGAGGCGTCAGTGTAGGAAACAATTTTAGGGCCATAGGAGATAGACGGAGCCATTATATGTCAGTCTTTGGGGCCAGTGTGGGTACTTCCCTTTTCAGTCCTTCAGGGGCTCCCAGGGACAGTCAGAGCCAAAGAAGGAGAAGAGGGAGGGCAGAGGGAACAGGCCAGGAAGCCCTCCCAGAACTTCCCAAGGCTCTCATAAATTCCTGGAATTCTGAACTGCTTGCCCTCTAGTGTTTTTTTGTGGAAACCCGGAAGGCTGTGATTCATGTCTGGTCTGATAGTGCCTGCTGGGCAGTGAGACCCAAACACTCTCCCCATAACTGCCTGCACAGTGTCTCCTTGGACCCTAGGCTAGCTTTCTCATGGGTGGCTCCCCCCACCCCCCTCAGCACAGTGGCAGGTTCCCTAGGGTAGTGGGTTCCTGGAGAGTCTGAATCCTGGCTTGGAGCATCCTCCGAGAGTACTTCTGGCCCACTCTTGCCCCCTCCCCTTGGGTTCCCAAAGCCCCTTGCTGTAGCCTCTTGAGAGTGGAGATGGGAATGTCACTATGCCCATCTTCCTGTTAATCCACC